AAAGCGATCAGTCATAGAGAAATAAAAACCAATTTAGTTTAATTGCAAACAATTTGACAATCAACCTAAGAACTCATAACCTTAAAAAAAATGTAGTTTAAGAACTCTAACACAATTAAAAGAACTAAACATGTAATTTACAATTCAATTGCGGTTCATGTTCTACAAGAGCGCTATTAAATCAAGGAACTAGTAGAGAAGACATAATAAATTATGCTTGAATAACGTTTAATATGCCCTTACCACTTGTTGGCTCTACCTGTGATTGGTATAGAATCATAAATTGTAGAGTAGACTATATAAATGGTCGTAAAATTATGATCATTGTATTAATTAAGTCATTGAACTAATATTTGTGTCAATTGAGCACATAAATTCTAAAATTTAGCAATTAAGTCTTTCTGTCAACATTGTTAGGTTTTTGGACATAATGTCTCACATGCTCACCACATGGACAATAGATTAGAGGTTTTCATATCTATCAAACAAAGCAGATTATGTCTTAATGTAGGTGTAGAAAACAGATTACTTAAATGTAGGTTCTTCGAAGAGTTTGCTAATCCGTTTTGTTTGATGGGGGTATGAAAGAGGTTTAAATTTAGAGTTTCGATTGATAGGTATATGGAATGAAGTTTTTCATCTAATAGGATTCGAATGAACAGTCTAAAATATTCCTAATATGTTGTCCATGTAGTGAGCATATGAGATATTCTGTCCAAAAACTTAATGGCTATTGACAGAAGAATTTAATTACTAAAATTTTAGAGTTTAGTTGCTCAATTGACTCAAAAATTAGTTCAGGGGCTTAATTAATAAAATTTTCGAATTTAGAGACTCAATTGACACGATTCAAGAACTTAATGAACACATAAATCATAGTTAAATGGCCATTTATGTAGTTTACTCTAAATTGCAAGTTCGAGGTTCAACTAATTTAGTGTGTATGATTGCATGCAAAATTTATTTTCTAATTAGGAATCCAAAAATGTGTTTCCTTCCTCGAAAGACAAAAATCATTCCCCAAGCAAGGCTCCCTTTGATGTAACCATATAGACAGCTAAATTATTCTGAGGTAAAGGAAAAGAGAAACCAGAAGAATCCTAAAAACTATGGATTTTAGGCTAATTTAAGTGACAATGTGGTCAACTCACATACTAAATAATAGAAGTGGGAGTTGCCATTTAGCTTGCCATTGGGCAGGTCATGATGGCAAACAAAGGATTATAAAAATGAAGGATACAAATGACGTTGACAGCTTTCTTTAAAGCAATTGGGTGGTTGCAAGGTCGTTTTGATTCTTGCTTGGCCAAATGCTTGCTTTTGTGTTGGGTTGTGGAAATTGTAAATAATTTGAGAAACACAACAGCATTATGCCATCTACAAAATAGATGCAAATCAATTCTAAATCTTGAAATACATGTTTTAAATCAACGAGATGTTGATTTATTGGGTAAGAATTCGAATTTTCTTGCTCAATGTTTGAGTTCAAATTTTCATAACTACAACAACTCATTAGAGCTAAACCTGCTCTTCAACATCCAAAGCACGTGGTAGGACCTGAGCTCCGGCTCTGACATAGGTGCAGTGGAATTCTCTGTAAATAGTTGTGTGGTACTGAGGGGTAATGTTCCCTAACGGATATGTGGAGTGAACTATTTGCATATCCATTTTGTGTACCCAAAATAAATACATGTTTTCCCATACACGTTATAAACGGAGTCAGCTCAACCACAAAGCTGACAAAGTCTGGGTTTTAAACCCCATGTTAAAAGAAGACTCTAAATTTTCTAGGTACATAGTCAAAATCAAAATTTTCTAAATTCATAATATTTTAGGACCCAAAAAACTTTTCATGTCATTGCTTGGGAGCTTGTTTAAGACTCTATAGATTTGACTAATTTACACACTTTATGTTTTTGTTCTTTGATTATATATCCTTTAGGTTGCTCCATATAAATCTCTTCATCTAAGTCTCCATTCAAGAATACGGTCTTAACGTCCATTTGATGGATGACTAGGTTATGTATAGAAGCTAGGACAACTAGAATTTTATATATTTGTAATTTTAGATATCGGTGAATAGGTATTAGCGCAATCTACCCCTTTTCTTTAAGTAAATCTTTTTGCCACTAGCCTAGCCTTATACTTGTCTATACTACTATCAGGTTTAAACTTCTTCTTAAATATCCACTTACAACCTTTTGGTTTATTACCAGATGGTAGATCGGTTAAAATCCAAGTGTTATTTTGTATTATGGATTGGAACTTATCGTTTATGGCTTCTTTCCAAAAATGGACATCTTTGTGTGTGGTTGGGTCTCCTTTGATTAAGAAAGCATAAATGCCATCTCCTAAGTTTTTCTCAATCTTTTGTCTTTTACTTCTTCTAAGTTATGCTTGAGGTTCTATTTCTTTGTTACTACTAGTAGATGGCCTCTCACTAGCAAATGTCATAGTTTATCATTAACTAGGGTTTGTAATTCTAGTTTTGAGGGGGAATATGTCTTCAAAGTAGGATGTATCTCTAGACTCTACTATAGTATTATTTAAAATTTTACTTATTTCTGAATTTAATACTAAGAATTTATTGTAGTACTATTTTACTTTGCCTATCTAAATCTATTTATCTACCTATGTGTATCTCATATATATAATTGTTGGAGTTATGATAGGTTCTTTGCCTATCTATATCTATTTATCTACCTATGTGTAGCTCATATTGTTGTAGTTATGAATGGCAATGGCTAGATATGTTGAGCCTTGGGTTAAGTTGAATTGGACTTAGCCTATGGTTGCCATAGATCATATTGAGCCTTGATTCACCTCCAGCAACACTAATCATGGAAATTGTGTCCACCTTCCACCATTCTCAAATAGCACCTAATGCTAATCAGGGTTGATTTAATATCACACCCTGAAATTCTAAAGCGTTAGTTTAGCAGTAGATCTATCAATCACTTGATAAACTTCTTATGAAGGGTAAGTCTAGAGTTCGAATATCTCATGAAAAATAATTCCTTGGGACCACCGCCCATAGATTTACTCTCTTGAATAGAGAGACGATTTTATACAAGGTCTAACATTAGTTTGGTTCGTGATTTATTGGAACAATTGGGATATCAAAAAAAAAAAATGATTTTGAAATCAACGTATACCACTGCTCGACCAAACCAAAGATACCAAATGTGGATTTTACTCTTCTGCAAAGGTTGCTTCTCATGTTGGCAATGGTATCATATATCTCATGGTTGACATGGAGGCTCTGGTCCACAACCACCACCCTTTACCATTTGATTCAACCAGTCAGTCACCCATCGCCCTCAGGTTCACCCAAATCCACCGGGCTTCCAGACTCTTGGTTGCCCAAATAAATGAGAGGAGGATTTCTAACTTCTAAGACTGATGGGTATTGCAACACGGATATCGTAGGGTTGGCAATTATCTTGTGTCACCTCGAATTCGTATCGAGCATTAGTGAATATTAATTTATCTTGTTCAACTAATCATGTCACACTGATCTATTTATTTGCATTGCATGTCGTGTTCGTGTTTGACTTGTATAATATATGAATCAAAAATTTGAAGTCGAGATTAAGTCTAAGATTTCAATTTCTCATAACTGATCTCACACTCGTAACCAATCTCACACCAATAGTTTTTTATAAACTGAAAATTAACAATACAAATAATAAAAATAAATAAATTAACAATCCTTTAATTAATTCAACAAATATTTTTATTTATTTTTCCAAGTTAATTGAACCTTGTGTTATTTGCATTTTACGAGTCTTTTTCTCTGTAACCTTATTCTTAATAACTTTTTCACGATAATCCTTACATGTGATTTTGTAGTTGAATTTTTCTTTTGGTTAGGTCTTAGGTTTAATTCTTTCCCACCAAGTTAGCCACCCTTGTTTCTTCTAGGAATATATTATATATTAGCTCAAACTACGATGACAATCATTGAGTTTGAGAGAATATTCGATGAAAATTTGAACACTCTATAATAAAAAAAAACTTTTTACGGAGAAACTAATTTTTTAGATTCCAACAAAATAAAAAATATTCATTAATTATTATTTTGCCCCATTGGAAAACTATTTTGACTTTGGCTTTAGTTGTGTGTCTCCCACTAATTCTCAACTTAGAACCCTAAACTATTTTGTTTTATATTTTATAAAGAATTTTTTTTTATATTCTTGTCTTTATTCTTTTTTTTTTTTTTGAGCTTGCTATTTTTTTTAAATTAATTAAGACAAAAGTTAACTTAGACATCTGTACCGCTAAAAAAATAAAAATAAAAGGTCACAAATTAAAAAAGGGGAGTACCGGATCACAAATTAAAGAAACTAATACTTAAAAAACTACAAGACAAATCACCCACTTCACCAAACTACTAGCAGTTACAATGTTGCATTCAAGCATAAGAAATCACATTTCCAACATAACCATACATGTCGGCAACCACAACCAGCTGAGCTCGAACACCCACAGGCTGTCTGCGTTTTAGAGAGAAAGATAGAGAGGGAACTCTAGACTGAGCATGTAAAACAAAGTCAATGCTTTAGACTGACAAAGAGACTCGAAATCGAAGAGAAGTACAGTGTGTGTGTGGGTTTTTCGGGGTGGGATTCAATGTTGGTCCAAGATCGTATATCCCCCAAATCCGCCGAAACCCAGAAGAGAAACCTCCCAATCCTTCACCCCAATCGTTTCTCCGAGTCCAAAAACCTTGATTTCTCCACATGGGTATCCGAAAACCTCTACAAAATTCTCACAATCCTCTTTCTAATAGCCACCATCGCCGCCCTCTTCTTCCTCCGGAATTCCGGCGACACCGCCACGCTCCTCTGCCTCCAATCCCAGCAGTCCAAGCACCTCCAGAGCCTCCAATTCCCCCAAATCAATTGGAATTCAATTCCACCCATTTCAGATAAATCCACACCCTTCTCGAATTTCCGATCCGAGAAGTGGATCATCGTCTCTGTTTCGGATTACCCCTCCGATTCCCTTCGGAATTTGGCAAAGATCAGAGGGTGGCAAGTCTTGGCAGTTGGGAATTCCAAGACTCCTAAAGATTGGAGTCTTAAAGGTACTATCTTTCTCTCTTTGGAATTGCAAGCTAATTTGGGTTTTAGAGTTGTTGATTACTTGCCTTATGATTCATATGTTAGAAAAACTGTTGGCTATTTATTTGCTATACAACATGGTGCTAAGAAAATCTTTGATGCTGATGATCGTGGTGAGGTGATTGATAATGATATTGGTAAGCATTTTGATGTTGAGTTGGTTGGTGAAAGTGCCAGACAAGAGGTTATATTGCAATATAGTCATGAAAATCCTAATAGGACTGTTGTGAATCCGTATATTCATTTTGGCCAACGCTCAGTTTGGCCCAGGGGGTTGCCATTGGAAAATGTAGGTGAAATAGGGCATGAGGAGTTTTATACTGAGGTGTTTGGTGGAAAACAGTTTATTCAGCAGGGGATTTCAAATGGCTTACCAGATGTGGATTCGGTTTTTTATTTTACAAGGAAATCAGGGTTGGAAGCATTTGATATTAGGTTTGATGAGCGTGCCCAGAAAGTGGCGATGCCACAGGGTATAATGGTGCCACTTAATTCTTTCAATACCATTTATCAGTCTTCTGCATTTTGGGGTTTGATGCTTCCTGTTTCGATTAGTACAATGGCTTCTGACGTTTTGAGGGGTTATTGGGCACAAAGGCTTTTGTGGGAAATTGGCGGCTATGTTGTTGTTTATCCTCCTACGGTTCATAGGTATGATAAAATTGAAGCGTATCCATTTTCTGAGGAGAAAGATCTTCATGTGAATGTAGGTCGTCTGATTAAGTTCTTGATTGCATGGAGATCGGGTAAGCATAGATTGTTTGAAAAAATCTTGGAGTTAAGCTATGTGATGGCTGAGGAAGGATTTTGGACTGAGAAAGATGTGAAGTTTACAGCTGCTTGGCTTCAGGACTTGCTCGCTGTTGGGTACCAGCAGCCAAGGCTAATGTCATTTGAATTGGATCGGCCACGGGCACAAATTGGACATGGGGATCGGAAGGAGTTTATTCCTCGAAAGCTACCATCTGTTCATCTTGGGGTCGAGGAAATAGGAACGGTGAATTACGAAATTGGAAATTTGATTCGGTGGAGGAAGAATTTTGGGAATGTTGTGCTTATAATGTTCTGCAGTGGACCTGTTGAACATACAGCTTTGGAATGGAGATTGCTTTATGGCAGGATATTTAAAACTGTGATTATTTTGTCAGAGCAGAAGAATGTAGATCTTGCTGTTGAGGAAGGGCAGTTGGACCATGTATACAAGTGAGTTACTTCAATTCTTTTTTCAGCTCCCATTTCTTGTGTTTTGCTGAATTAGTTTCTGGTTTCTTTGTTCATTTGCATAGCTAAGTAGAGGTTAAGGGGAGCCACAATATGAGGATGAGTTGTGTTCTAGGATATGAATACGTGTATATTCTAGGCAATGAAGCATGTCAATTACAAAGAAGACTTTGTCATGGCACAGGTTACTTTGATTTCAAATATTTCCACTTGTTTGCATATTTTGAAATTGGCTCAATTTGTATTATTTATGTTTTTGGATAAAGTTTCCGAGTATCTTTATCTAATTTTGGTCTTCTTTTTCAAAAAACGTTAAATGAACTTGTTTCTCATTTTTTTGATGTGTGGTAGAGGTGGGATATTGCACACCACACCTTTCAACCTTTCATATCCCACTACTCTAAATCCCTGCCCCAACTTTTGGGTTACCTGAATAAACTTTGAGTTCGAAACCTCAATTTATGTTACGTTAGATTTATTGTCATAATAACGCATGAAACTTGGCCAGGTCCCAACATTCAATTTTTAACTACCTTGGGTTAAAGATGACTGGGATTTAGGATCAACTGAACTGACGCTCAAGATCCTTGTTATATGGGGATGTGATAGTGTGAGATTTCCAAAACTGCTTCCAAGATGTGGCTTTTTTCTTGTGGTGCCGGATGTGATCTGGCTTTTTCATTGACAAATGCATCCTTAGGTGCTTATCACTGAAGGGGAGCTTTTTGTTCAATGTTTTTAATTTGATTTGGGGTACTGGCAATTTGTTCTATTGATTCATAAAGTTTTGCATTTTTTTTTTCGTTTTCTCCCCTTGTAACATTGCCAATTTTCATTTGCAGGCATCTGCCGGAACTATTTGCCAGATACAGCAGTGCAGAAGGGTTCTTATTCCTCCAGGACAATACTATTCTTAATTACTGGAACTTGCTGCAAGCAGACAAGCTTAAGCTCTGGATCACGGACAAGGTAAACGAACAGCAAAACTCGTCTTCTCTATCACCCATTTATGTCTGTTGTTTGCAAAAGAAAATTTGAGGGCTTGAAGAATGTTAATCTTGGTAATGCATGGGGGGCCATTACTGCTGAATGGTAAAAGGTTAATTTAGTTTGAAGAAACCTATATATGGATGATTAAAACAATATATTAATGCTATTGTCTGAATGAATGACCAAGAATAACAAGCCGATATGTTACCATCAACCACCAACAATCTTCTCTCTCTCTCTCTCTCTCTCTGAAAAACTCTATGCTTGTAGGTCTCCAAGTCTTGGACTGCTGTCCCAATTGATGGAAACTCAGACTGGTTTAAACAGCAAGCAGAATTGGTAGAGAAAGTTGTTAGTACAATGCCAGTTCACTTGCAAGTCAATTACAAAGAATCCATGAAAAATGACCAGAGCCTTACAATATGTAATTCTGAGGTATTCTACATTCCTCGGAAATTTGTAGCAGACTTTAGTGATCTTGTAAATCTAGTGGGCGATCTTAATATCCATCACAAGGTTGCAATACCACTGTTCTTCATGGCAATGGACTCGCCTCAGAATTTTGACTCGGTGTTCAATGCAATGATTTATGAGCAAAAACCGCCTACTAATTCTTCAACATTTTATTCTGCCGAAGTGCCTGCAATTCACCCTTGGAATGTGGCCAGTGAGCAGGAGTTCATAAAGCTGATTAGAATAATGGCAGCGGGTGATCCACTGCTAATGGAGTTAGCGTGAAGGTAAAAACAGTTTTTCGACACAAAACAACTTGCTAGGGAGGAGAAAAACATGTACCACATATGTCAACACCAAACTCTGTATTTGTTTCTTTTTTTTGGTACTATTCTTTCAAAGGGGAAGGGGTCTTTTGTAGATTTCTGTTGTATGATTGTAAACTGTAGAGGATTACTTTGTTGATGCCTTCTCTTCTCATAGGCAATTTAAAGCCTCTGAAGATCTTCATTCACTTTTTCCTTTGGAAAGGTGAAGAACCCTGATATCCAATGGGATTGGATTAAGTACAGCTAGAAACATTGTTCATAATTGTTAATTTTTCAAACTTTTGCAAGTTTCTCTGTGTTATATCATTGCCTTGTGTTTTTTTTTTGGTTCATGAATTGATTGTAAAAGTTGAAAACAGTTTTTATTTGATAATTTGTATTCTATTCACTGTGATGTTAATGACTCGCATCAACGACGATAGCCAAAATATACATTCAAGGACCATCACGCGCTCAACTGCCAATCATATACATTCAAGGACCATCACTCATTCAAATGCCAATCATACTTCTCATGAATGTATCTGGCTATCCTGCTGTCACATGTAGGATGCGTAAGAAGAGAAGGACATAATCCTAAGTTGTCACTACAAATGCACGATTTTATGACGGTAAAAGCAACCATAGTCAAACTCATCTATACCCTTTCGACCTAGTAAACATAAAAAATTAATATGACCAAAGAAATAATGACCCCCACTTTTATACACTCAGCAGCAAAATAGCTACCCTATTCGTTACTCAAGATGAATAAGAAAAATTTCCACAAGTGCGACAAAAATGCATTAGCAACTCTGCCTCGTAACATTTTCTCAAAATTTCTGATATCACCTCAAAAACATAAGACAATCAGCTGGAATGATTTGGAAAAATAGACGAGCTACCAGCCAGTTGTTGCCGTTGATGTCAGTCTTCTACAATTTAGTCCACTTCCATGGTAGAGATGACTTCATCCAAGATGATCTTAAGTTCTTTCACTCTCTGTCTTGTCAAAGCGACACAATCCTGCACCCAGCAAGCCTTCTCATTAGCAGCTGTTATTTACCAAACAGTATCATTTGTATACTTTGACATCACATACACCATACTGGGGGTTGATGCCTGGACAAGAAAAAAGACACAAAACAGTATTTGTATATTTAACGGAATGGTGGTTGTTAACTTAATCAAAAGACCCTCAGTTTCTATGGGAGTTGATGCTAAAAAAAAAAGTTTGATGGATAAGAAAAAAAACACAAAACAACTTTTGTATATTTGACGGACCGGTGGTTGTTAACTTAGTCAAAAGACCCTCAGTTTCGGTTATCTGTCGATCTATTTTACAACTTAGCATTGCAATATATCGGCCAAATGAAACAATATCGCTGCCAAGGTTTTTGATTTCACCAAAGGAAAACTAAGAGGTTGTTTGGTAAGTGTCTTTGCCTTATGTTTTTTGTTTTTGTTTTCAATTTTTGTCAAAAATGAAACAAAAAATATGTTTGGGTACTGTTTTTGTTTTTGTTTTATATTAATTGTCTTGGAAAAAATGGGAACAAAGACAAAAAAATGAGAACAAAAAAAAGATATTCCAAGAAACACCAAAAACAAAGACAACGCGCAAAAAAGTTTAGGAATTAATGAGATCTGCACTTCGACTCCTCTTAATAGCAAAACAAGAATTTTTTTGTTGAAATATAAAAACCGATTTCATCCCTCTCTGTCTCTCTCCTCTCTTCCTTTTCTCTCATTTCTCTGTATCAGACAACCAGAAGAAACCCATCACTGCCTCTCTCCTCACCATCGTTGTCGCTCTCCTCCCAAGTGCCGCCTCTCTCCTCCCCATCGTTGTCTCTCTCTCTCCTTCTTCTCTGTGAAACCCAGAAGCTATGCATATATATGCACAAATTATGGCTTGCAAGAGATTGGTCTGTGTATATATGCATAGATTATGGCTTGCAAGAGATTGACTTATTATAATTTATTCCTCCATCAACTACAATTAACAACTCTCTTTGTCCAATCCTCACCAACAAAGTTTACACTGCTCCTCAGATCCCCTGGATTCGTCCTTAGGGATTGCAATCTGAAAGGAACTACGGGTTCTTGTTCAGTTCCTGGATACACTAAATGGACTTGCAGATACCAGAGGTCTTCTGTTCGATCTCTGAAAATGGGAAGATTAGTGTCATGCCCATAGTTGTTAGTATCGTACGATACGCGATACGTATCGTACGATACAGCCCTAAAACGATACAGATCGTAGTTATGTATCGTTTTTGCGTTGTATCGTCCGATACACGATACGTTTTTACGATACGATACGTATCGGTACAATACGCACGATACGTGAAATTTTTTTTTTTTTTTTTATAAACGACGTCGTTTTGTGCTCTGATTTTTTTTTTTAATCCCTATAACCACTGAAACGACGTCGTTTCAGTGGTTAGGGTTACAAAAAAAAAATCCCTCATTTCTTACATATTTGCCCTTCGCTAGTCAGACTCGGATGTCTTTGGTTTCTCTTCAGCCATCGACAACGAGTGATCGACTGTGGGTGGCGATCGCTATGGGTGGTGATCGACTGTGGGTGGTGAACGTTGTGAGTGGTGATCGCTGTGGTGGTCTTCGACTGTGTGGGTGGTCTCCAACTATGGGTGATTGCTTGTCTTCGTCTGTGGGTGATTGCTTGTCTCCGACTGTGGGTGTTGATCGCTGTCTTCTTCCTTCTCCAGGTACTCCTTCTTTTTATTCTTCTTCTTCTTCTTCCCAGTCTCCATTGATCGTTGGTCCTGTGCAGTATGTAATGATATTAATTTATTTACAAAGCCAAATGTATATATATTTTTTTTGTATAAAAATTTCTGAATCTTGTTTAATTTTAATTTTGTGCAACAGTGGCATCACCTGCATCCAATTTTCATATAGAAATGACTAAAAAACTTGCTAATGATCCCACATGGGAACATTGTGACAAAGTAGAAGGATCAATGTTGAAATTGAAATGCATTCATTGTGCAAATGTCTATTGGGGAGGCATTTCAAGAATGAAAAATCATTTGGCAAGTAATCGCAAAGATGTAGCAGCGTGTAAGCATTGCCCTGAGGAAGTAACTGAATTTTTTAAGTAATTATTGGATGATAGGGCAATTAGCAAATATATGAGTCTTGTGGATTCGAAAAGTAGTGGCAGTGTGGGTAGTACTACTGCTGATAAAATACAGCCAACCACCACAATTACTTTGAATACCATGTTGAAGAAAAAGGGTAGGGAAGATGTATGCTTGGATATTTGTAGATGTTTTTATGCTAATGCCCTTCCTTTTAATTTGGTAAAGGATCCATATTTTGTAAGAATATTAGAATCTGTTGCATCGTTTGGTAAGGGATTGAAACCTCCATCGTATCATGAGGTGAGATGTTCTTTTTTGAAAAAAGAAACAAATTTGATTAATGGTGGGTTGATGGAAAATTATAAAGCAGAGTGGAGAAGGACGGGTTGTACTCTTATGTCTGATGGATGGACTGATGGGAAACATCGCTCTATCATTAATTTTTTAGTGAATAGTCCTAGAGGAAGTGTGTTTCTTAAAAGTATTGATACTTCAGGTATTTGTAAGAATGCGGATAATCTTTTTAAGCTTTTAGATTCAATGGTAGAAGAGATTGGTGAGGATAATGTTGTTCAGGTTGTAACTGATAGTGCATCGGCTTATGTAAAAGCTGGGGAGTTGTTAATGACAAAGAGGAAAAAGTTGTTTTGGTCTCCTTGCGCTGCACATTGTCTAGATCTCATTTTGACGGATATTGGGGACCTTCCTCTGCACAAGGATATAATGTCAAAGGTAAGGAAAATCATAGTTTACATTTATAGATATTCTTGGGTGTTAAATCTTATGAGAAAGTATACAAAGAAAAGGGATTTGGTGAGAGCTTGTGTGACCAGATTTGCCACCTCATATTTAACTTTAAAGAGTTTATTTGAAAATAAAATTGGGCTTAGAGCAATATTTGCTTCTGAGGAATGGCAGAGAAGTCAATATTGTAAGAAGGGAGATGGTGTAAAAGTGATGGATATTATACTAGCTGACCAAAATTTTTGGGGATCAATCAAGTATTGCTTGAAGTGTGTGTTGCCATTGATGAAGGTGTTGAGGCTTGTAGATGGGGATCTAAAGCCTGCCATGGGGTATATTTATGAGGCAATGGACAAGGCAAAGGAAAAAATCCAAAATAATTTTCATAATTTTCACTATGAGCCCATATGGACTATTGTTGACACTAGATGGAACATGCAATTACACAGACCTCTTCATGCAGTTGCCTATTATCTCAATCCCGCGTAAGACTTAATTTTCTCAATTTTTATATCATTTTATATCTATATATTGTATGCTGATCAATGATCATTGTAAATCAAAATAATTATTTCAGGTTTCATTACACCGATAGTGCGGACTATGAGATAAAGATGGGACTATATCAGACTATTCAGAAAATGTGCCCAAGTTCTATTATGAGAGAAAAAATTGATAAACAATTAGATATCTTTCATAATGCTGATTTGATGTTTGGAATGGATATGGCAATCCAAATGAGGAAGAAGAAACAACCTGGTTAGTGGTAACTTAACTTAAGTTAGTTATTTGAATGCACCTGCTTAAGTTAGTTAATGGAGTATTCTATTGTAATTTTTTATAGCCTTGTGGTGGGAATCATTTGGAGGATGTTGTCCAGAGTTGCAACAACTTGCTATCCGCGTCCTTAGCTTGACTTGTAGTGCCACTGGATGTGAGAGGAATTGAAGTACATTTGACCAGGTGCACTCTAAGAGGAGAAATCGATTAGAGCAACAAAGATTAAGTGCACTTGTGTTTGTGAAGTACAATCTTCGATTGGAGGCAAGACACCAAAAGAGAATACTAGAGGGTGATTCCTATGATCCTATTTCTCTCTCAGATATGGAATCTGATGATGAGTGGATCACTGAAAAAGAAGATGCACTCCTTCTTGAGGACACTACTTGGATGAATGTTGGTGAATGTTTTGAGGTTCAAGAAGGGACTAGCAAAAAGAGAAAGAGAGGTAATTAAAATGTAGTGGTTGTTTTTTCTTCTTCTCCATTACTTTGAATTTTATTTTTTTTATATTTTGTATTGGTTGCTTTGTAGGGCCTAGAAATCTTACTTTATACAAGAAAAAAGGAAAGCAAATAGTTCAACTTGAAGATGAGGATGAAGATGAACAAATACAAGAAGTTGAAGATGATAAAGGAAGTGAAGACTTGTTGGCATCCGATCACAATGATGATGATGATGATGCATTTTCAATTGAAATTAAAGATTGAGTTCAAAATGGATGTTAGAAATTTGGATTAGAAGTTTCTTTGGTGTTTAAAGTTTGAATTAGTGAACTATGGTTGTGAACTTTGCATTATAATAGTAGTGGATTATGTTGATAACTTGAATAGTTGGTGGAGTATTAATGAAATGCTATATTTTTTATGAGTGTATGACTTTTTTTCAAAGGTATATATATTTTATTATTATTTATTTAAAATTGCATCGTATCTTATGATACACGATACGATACAATATTTGTATCTTACGATACGCCTTCCGATACACGATTTGATAACTATGGTCATGCCTATCGGTTCTCGAAAGGATTTTCGATATTCAATCTTGCAGATTTATATGCTTTTCTTTTTTGATCTGTGCATATATACACAGATCAGTGCATATGTTGTGTTGATTTGAGATTTAATTGTCAAATAAATACCAAACATATTTCAAATAAAATTTGAAATAGTTACCAAACATATTTTTTGTTTTTATTCTCATAATTTAAACAAAAATGACTCCCAAACATATTTTCTGTTTTAGTGTTTATCACAAAATAAAGACAAAAATTATCTCTATTTTTAATTTTTTTCAAAACGCGAAAACAAAAACGTTACCAAACGACCTCTAAATGCATCTTAGTCGCACAAAACCATTTTAAGGCCCTCAGTTTTTATTATATGTCTTTCTATTTTACAGCTTAAATGTGCAAAACCATATTTAGTACATTTTACATGTCTTCTTAGTTACGTCATTTGAGAACCTCAACACCTATCATCAGGGACGGAGCCAAAAAAATACTTTAGGATGGGCACATGATAAATTTTAATTTTTTTTTATCAATTTTATAGACTTAATTCAATGTAATTGTTATTGTAGTTGTAAATTTCAATGTTAGATGAAGTCTACTTCCAATTAAAGGGGTGTATTGAATTATGTCATCAAATTAGATCTAAATAGCATTTTTCATTTGTTTTTTCAATTGACCATCGAAGTTCAAAAATTCATATTTACTATAATGATGCGTAAAAATTCATTAAATATAAAAGGTTAAAAAACGATTTGCATGGAATTAACAAATAAAAAATAACAGTAAATTAATTAAAACTTCGTATGAGACTAATTATTATCATTTTACAATTGAATCTGATTATTGTTTATCATTTAAAAGAATTACAAATCAATGATATCAATAAATAATTTTTTTCTATATACAAAATGATAATAACAGTCTTTCATTTATTACCTTATGATTTATTACATAACGACGCTCATTTCTATAAAATAAAAAAATAATTCTATAATTTAGAAAAATGACCACGATATGTCTAAAAATTATTAAGACATGCTTGTGTCTAAAAATTTAAGAATAATAGTAATTGCATCTAATTCAAAATTTAATTTTATATCTTGACAAAAAAAAATTTCAAAATTTAATTGGTAGGAACCCAATAGTTTGTGACCATTGGATGGATAGTAGACGTTATTAAATGTAAGGACTCGCTATTAAATTTAATATCACAATGTATTAGTTTCAATATCATTATTTAAAAATTAATTATTACTTAAGTAGCCGTCTATCTTAATCGATATCACAATAACACAATACTAAGGTGGACACAATTAAATATGTCTAAATTTTATTTAAAAAAATATATATATAATGTAAAAAAAAAATTGAAGGTAAGCACAATTAAATATATCTAAATTTTATTTTCAAAAATTTATATCTAATGTCAAAAAAAAAAAAAAATTAGGGGGGGCACGTGCCCACCCTGGTCCAAGTCCAATGGTGGCTCCGCCCCTGCCCATCATCATATGAACTTGGAGCAAACTAACCTGTATAGCTGATGTGTAGGCAAGAACTGGTCCACCAGGCTTGTAAAGAGACACAAGCTGACCAGATAAATTAATTACCACAGTAATAAGAGTTTCCATGATTGACTCCTCTTCTGCTGTAGGGTGGGCCAGGACATAATTCTTGTGAAGTATGCATGTTAAGGTGAACGGAATGCTGCTCAACTTGAGCTTCCTCTTCTCTTTGTTAACCGGCTTCTTTTCTAATTTTCCTCCCTCGTTTTCCTCGGACATAACTACTATTCTTCCATCATCATTCAGAGCAACTACAGGAATTTGTACTGCAAAACCAAAAATTTTACTGATGTGTTGAGAGTAACATACTAGACAAGGCTTTGAACTGTAAAGAAGCTCAGTTCGAGTTCGATTATTGTAGACACAACCCATGAACTTTCGGGCCATGTGGGACCCATGAACTCTGGGTCCAAGAGATGTCTACATTGGCAAGCATTAGTCAATTCTATGATTTTAGACAAATCCACTAAGAAAATTTAGGCAATAGAAACATTTTTATAAGAATAACAAAATACTTCCTAAACGAAAGATATTTTTGAAGTCATTCATTCATTACTGGAAAATTTATAGTGGTTGCTCTAGCATTTGTTAGTTACGATGATACAAGCTTCACAACTCACATGAGAAAAAATATGCATATAAGAAAAGAAAACATGAGTTATAATAAAATTTATTTCCTAAAATGACTCCCAAGTTGTGATAAAGCCTATAGTAAGTTTGACAAATAGTAGAGCCTTGTCGAACTTACAATTGGAGAAGGCAGCAACTGCGGAAAGTAATGCAGTGTCAAAAAGAGCACCATCAGCATCCAAACAATATATGTCCCTGCAAGAGAAGGAGATATGGATCTTTGTTATCAATAGAGAACAAGTTAGTAGTGTTAATTATAGTTTACCAAAGGCTCATGCTAAGAACACTCTATGACTAGTAACCAAAAGATTGAAAGCCATACATGTATGGATCACGCAATTCATATTCAAAAGGCTCAGATCCAACATCATTTTTTAAAGACATGCTTCCCGAATTTATCTGAAGTTGGAATACATTACCAGTTAAGCCATCCAAGCAGCTTTCCCACTGACCAGTGATAATTCCTTCATATTGATCATGCCAGAACTACAACCGAATAATCAGTCATTTAAAGACAACCATAAACCAGACCCAGAAAATACAAGGGTAAGCATATTAGGGAAGAAATACTTTGTAGAGCCAGGAAGGCATGCGTAGTGTTGTATTAAAATTGTCAAAAAACATCACAGAGCCAGTTTGTCAATACAAGGAAATGCAACAGCAAAGAGAATAAAAAAATTCTTCAAAGCCAGCCCCCAATCCCCAAGCCCAGAAAAAAAATAAAGAAACCCCAAAGCCAAAGGGAGCTAAAAAATGTGAAGTATGACACGATTATTACTGGCAAATCACTACAATAGTCTCAACAAAAAAAAAACAAAAAACCAATCCACACCACTGTAATAATAACGTTGAGAAATATGATAACACCTCCAATAACTGATGAGCAGTTTATATTGAATGGAAAGTTTGGTACTAATTATGTCCAACGAAAATTGCCTTTATACTCGATGAAAAAAATGAACTAGAATATTAAGCTTCGGTATTTTACAGGTATTGGTACATCGCAGGACTATGTTTATCTTTTCTTTTAGTTTTTCCTTAAAGATATTGCACGACTAAGTTAGTGATATGAAAACGTAACAATAGGCACAATAAACAAAAAATAAACCACCTCCGGCATAGATATACAGGATACAAATGGATTTTGAAGGCATATGATTAATGCTAAAGACTAAAGCAATACCAAACTAACTAGTGGAAAAAAACTACTTAGCAAACAGTAGTACAATTTAACCGAATAGCGCAACGACATGCCCTAAGATCATGTCAGACAACTGCTTTGACACAACTGGTGCTACCTCGGCTGGCCTGCCAGGCCTAACAATTGGGGAACAAATTGGAGGCATGTGGAAATCAACAGCTGGAAATAGAAATTTACATATTTACACCATCTGCGGCTGAATATCAGGGAAGAACAGTAGAAGAAAATATGCCAGTGATGATGCTAAAGCTATGTAGCCCTCATCTTGTGAGTCCACCGTAGGTGTCATGACCTCCATTTTAATAGCAGCCAGCATGGTCTGTGCAAGAACACAAGATGTGAGACTTTGAATTAGTTTTAATTGCAAAGAGCCATTACCCACCACAGATAACATGATATGATTTAAATAAATCGTCCCAACGCAACAAAACCTCATCCCACACGTCATCAGAGAGAGAGAAGTTTGATGTGCAAAACACTTACGGTGCAACCAATCTTTTGCTAGTGCTGATCCATCAGCAGATGCAACAGCTCCTGTATTAAAGGAGTTAATTAGAATAGGAATACGAATTTAGGCATTTCCCAAATCAGAGGATAAAATTACAAGTTTTCAGAAAACATACAAAGATTAATAACTAACCAAGGGCCACTGTTGTACCTCTAGCTTTTCCCAGTAGCCTTCCATTCCATCAGGTCGTACTGATTCAAGCAGATGGCGTTCATGAAAGCGTAGAGGGAAAAGGCGTCTAAAAGCATCCACCTCCATCTCTGATGACAAATCTCCAGACCCATTTGCAGAACTCATTCTCTTTAATCTGCTTTGTCACGAAAGCCTCTGGCTTTTGAAAAAACAAAAGATCAACTAATCAAAACAAATTCGACAGTTTATCACTGAAATTGCACAACAATAATCAGTGTGATGAGAGACTTAATCAAGATAAACCCTATAAACAATAAAACTGATACGAACCCATTTATTTTATTTATTTTGTCAGGACATTTATTTGCTTTTAAAAATTAGTAGGCAAAATGCCAAAAAACTGGAGTGGCAATATTAGGCGAACACACATGATTGAATGTAGGATTTTCGATAATGTCGGATGAGGTGGGTTATATCAGGTTTTAATGGGTTTTTATCAAAAAAATATTTTATCTATATTCTACTCATTTATTAATTTACTAATTATTAAATATATTTGTATTCATATCCAAAATCAAATCACAAGCATAGAGAAGAGATAAATGAATTTAAATATCGATTTGTAGTAGTGGTGAAATGTGGTGGACGACAGTGGTAGATAAGAGACTGTGTTGGTTGTGGTGGGTAGAAATGACTGTGGTAACGGCAGCAGCGATAGTGGTGGCGATGACAGCGAAAATGATAGGGGCGGCAGCGGTGATGGTGGTGGCGACGGTAGTGGTGGAGGTGGCGGTGACGGTGATGATTATAGTGGTGGTGGTGGCGACAATGGCGGTGGTCGTAGTGGTGGTAGAGGTAGTGGTGAGGGTGGTGGTTGTAGAGGTAGTGGTAGTGGTAGGCGGTTTCAAACATAATTTTTTTTTTTTTAAGTATTTATGAGAAATAATTTTTAAAAATACTTTTAAAAAGTCACTCGAAACACACCTTTAGGGCCCTATTTTTTCTATTAAATTTAAGATGTTAATATTAACCGTTTGATTAACTTTAAAATAAAATTTAAAACGATCTCAACCGCCAATAGCAAAAGTCATTTTGTTTATCTTTTAAAATTTGAATTATAAACTATTTTATTATATAAATGTCTAACAAATTATGTCATATTGAGTTCCTATCGTGTGTAAATCGTATATAACTAGTACATGTTGTGTATAAATTATGTATAACAAATATATAAATATTATGTATTTTATTTGATTGACTTCACTCAACCTAATTCATTTATTAATTGTGTTGTCTAGAGTTCATTCATTTACGAAAATGGGTGGTTTAAGGAAGATTCAAACATTTTATTCATGTCATGTTAAGAGGTCGTGTCATATTCTGTCACTCCCAATATAATATGATGAAAATGATAATGTTAAGATAGGTGTGTAGTAAAAATAGCAAAGATAGAATTAGGAATCATCATTTCTGTAAAAAATAGAGATAAGGTAATGTATAGAAGATAAATTAAGGAAACGTTGACTTAGGTGGTTTTGACATATTTATAGAATTTGGATCTCGACCTTGATTTTGACATTTGTGAGTGTGACCCAGACCTTCGTGATGGATAGCGAGATCTAGTTTACCAATAAGCAAGCATAGGTACACCACTTGATCCAATGGCGTAGATAGTCTGTGATTTACCCCTAACTATCAGCGGCATGAGTTACAGAAGAGGCCAAACCAACCAAGTATATCACAAATAGATAAGGTTGGAGGTATATCGCAACCTAGCACACTAATCTTGATCATTGAATATGTCATTGTTACAATAATTTGTTGTTCTTAGGCATACCGACCTTAATCAAAGGAGTGTGCTAGATAAAACATTAAATTGGAATCCAAGAGAATATATCTACAGTTTTTCTAAGACTATTTATGAGTTTTGTCAAGGAAGAGAAAAGGCAATAAATTTATGCTAGTTCACATAATGGTTGAGCTAGCATAAATTTGTCTTCGGTAGTATATGCTATGGTAAATAATTCTTAAGAAAGTTAAATAATATGTTCAATTATTGGAGATGATGCCTGTTTGAATTCCATTATGGATGCATGGATATGAAATGAACAAATTTTCCAATGCATTCTCTGATGGGTCAAGCCCAAGAAGAACTCAATTTATTTGAAAAACTCAAACCTCAATTGAAGAGCTCAGTCTTATAAAGATTCACGAAGTCCAATATTGTTCAAGTCCAGTCTCATCAGTTCGGCTACGTCATCAAGAGAGAGAGAGAGAGAGCACGTGAGCCTTACCTGCACCGCCAAGAAAACAGTCGACCCTCACCTTATCCTTGACCGCATCTCATAGAGAGCATCTCAACCACCTCGCCCCTTGAGAAAAAGTTGTGAGCTCTACTGAAATAGTTGCTTAATTGCTGTAAAATAGCTCTAACCTGTTAGGAGGCCACTATAAATTGCACGCCCCACCAACACTTGGGGGGTATCACACATCACCTGAGCATGACTCTCTCATCTCTCTCAAAGCTTGTACTCTCTGTTCCCCACACCTTTGAGTTAATAAAATACCCGACAACTAGAGCCATTGAAGAGTGGACGTAGATCGAGTTGATCGTACCACTATAAATTGTCTGTGTCTCTCCATCTCCTGATATTATTTTCTTGCATTTATTGTTCACACTTGACAGGTGGTGTGCAAAACTATTTTGGGCATCATCAATTTGGCGCCGTCTGTGGAAAACGACAAAATTCTCACTCCTAAACATTCCATTTACTGAACCAATGAAGATCACAACCAGATTCATGAACCAACAAGAAGGCAATCCATCACGAGAGGAAGAGGTTGCTCCTCCACCCACCAACCCTGTCCTAAATGCTCCAGCTCCAAATCCACAACAAATGTTGGAGACCATGCAGCAGCTGGTGACCCAAAACCAGCAGATACTGCAACTCATACTCGCTGGATGAGGAGGAGCGCAACTTGGAGGACCCCAAGGAGCTCCACACCTTGCTGCACCACACCTCGGCCCCCAACCTTGCCCTTGGAGTCCCCTTGGGCGCCCATCATGAGGGAATTCCACCTCTTTCTCTTCCTCCTACTTCCCATGATGAGGACTCTTATCTCCAAGAGGATGAGAGTGAGAACCAAAGCATGGAGCATGAGAGTCATTCCCAGGATCATTCCAGGGGAGTCCCAAATCATTGGGATGAGAAAATCAAGGATGTACAAAATCAACTGAGTGATGTCTTCAACACCATGAAGGCACAGGGACCTGAGACAGTGGACTACCTGGTAAGGCGTACAGACACGCCTTTCAAACCTGACGTGGTGAACTACCTCCTCCCTCAGAAATTTAAAATGCTATCTATGGTGACCTTTGACGGAACAAAAGATCCACTAGACCACCTCAACACCTACAAGACTCTGATGTAGTTGCACAATGTTCTAGACGAAATCATGTGCAGGGCGTTCCCAACCACATTGAAGGGGGCCGCACGACAATAGTTCACTAAGCTCCTCCCAGCCTCCATCGCTTCCTTTGTTGAGCTGAGCAGGTCATTCGTATCACATTTCATTGGGGGGCGTCGCCACCAGAGGCCTGTCACCCATCTACTTAGCATAAAGCAGAATAGGGAGGAGAGCCTAAGGAGCTACCTCACTCGTTTTAATGACGAGGTACTCCAAGTCGATGAGCCCGACGACAAAGTGACGATGATCGCCTTCCTAGGAGGCCTCCGCTCGTCAAGCTTCCTCTTCTCAGTGATGAAGCGCCCACCAAAGAGCATGCCAGAACTGTTAGCAAAGGTCCAAAAATACATAAATGCTGAGGACATCACAAGGGCCATGCGAGGTGAATTCTCTAGAGCAGCAAGGGAAAAGAGGAAGGAAAGGGAGAAAGAAGACAAGAAGGAGACTAGCAACAAACGTGGCAGAATAAAAAGGGTTCACGTCAAAGACTGGCTAGGTCCTGCTCCTCAGAGGGATTGACAAGCTTTCACTCCCCTCAATGCAGCAGTCGGGCACATCCTATTCCAGATCCAAGATGACCCCGCCATAAAGTGACCAGGGAAGATGAAATCTCCTCCAAATCGCAAAAATCCAAACAAGTACTGTCATTTCCACCGCGACCATGGGCATGACACTAACGATTGCTATGACCTCAAAAGACAAATTGAGGAACTCATCCACCGTGATCACCTACGCCAGTATGTTGCTGGCAGAGAACGAGCACCACCACCTCACAATCAAGAAGACCAGCAACCAGTGGGGGAGATCCATATCATCTCGGGAGGACTAGCAGGAGGTGGAGAATCACTCTCTGCAATAAAGGCCCACGCCAAAAAGGCAAGGCACCTCGACGAGATACACCCATCCAAAGTGCCAAAATAGGGTGACAGTGAGGTCATATCTTTCTTAGATAAGGACCTAGGGGGAATTCAGCACCCACATGACGACCCCCTGGTGCTCACCATGACCGTGACCAATTTTTAAGTGCGCAGGATCCTAGTGGATAGTGGCAACTCTGCGAATATCCTATTTGCAGAGGCTTATGACAAGCTCAACTTTGGCAGAAAGAGACTACAGCCTATCAGATCACCCCTCATTGGGTTCTCAGGGAAAAGGGTATATCCCCTAGGGTCCATCACCCTACTTGTCACAGTCGGAGCGTCGCCCTGGAGCCCTACAGCTATGGTCAATTTCTTGGTCATAGACTGCCCATCAGCCTACAATATCATATTGGGGCGACCTGCTCTTAACACATTTAGAGCTATGCCCTCCACCTATCACCTTATCCTCCGCTTTCCAACCACGAATGGAGTCAGAGAGGTCAGAGGAGACCAGATAGCAGCGAAGGAGTGATATGTCTCCTCCATGAAGACCAGGAAGCCACAAGAAGCATTGCAAGTGGAGGTCCTTGATCCGAGGGATAACACCACCATAAAGAGAGGAGAACCAGTCGAGGAGCTCACCTCTACGGCCTTGGATGAGGAGCACCCAGACAGAAGAGTATACATCGGCTCTTCCCTTTCTAATACCTGGTTGGCCCGCTAATAGACTTTTTGAGACGTAACATGGACGTCTTTGTGTGGTCACATGCAGACCTTGAGGAAATTGACCCAGAAGTACCCACACACTGTCTCAATGTGGACCCATGACACAAGCAT